TATATATATATATATATATATAGCAGTCTACATCCAAATAAAACTATATGCTGTGGTACAGATGATGTATAAGAAAAACACATTTTCACAATATTTTTGTTCTGTTACCTATTTTTTAAACTTAGATTCTAATTTTTTTTACTAATCCAGACTTTTAAAGTTTGACTAATCTCTTACTAAGCACAAGTTCAGAACTTAGTTTTAACGTTACAGAATTTTTCTGGGGGAGGAGGTCCAGACCTCCAGTATGTGCCAAATATGCATCCTCCCACTTTTGTTCAAACATTTTACAACATGATCCGACTCCCACGAGCACAGAGTCACTTTGTTGTATCACTTTATTTTGTCGATTTCAATCGAATCTAAAATGTTAAATTTAGTTTTTTTGTTTGTTTGTTTTTTGGTTAAACGGAGGCTCAATACCCTCAGACAGAAATCAAAGACAGACATAAAGTGAGGGTGAGAGATGATCTGACCTGATGCAGAGCGGTGAGACCGTCTTCGTTGCAAAGGTCTGGACTCACATTATTTCTCAGCAGGTAACGAACTGATGGGGGAAAGAAAAAAAAACAAGACAAAGAAAATGTTAAATACTCACAAAGCATGCTGACAGGCCTAAAGTTAACCTTTTGTTACCTGGTAACATCACCAATCAATCTGCAATCCTTTAATCATATCGTCTCTGCAGGGACAATGCCTAACTGACCTTGGAAGTCTGTCTGAAAGGGTGAGTGGGGGTAAAGGGGTGAGGGGAGGGGTTGATGACGCAGGATAATGCTGAGGATTACACAGTCTGCCTCCAACTCGCTTCAAACCTGGACCCTCAATCTTAAAACATGTCCGTTTTGCACGTGACAGCAGCCTGAACAGGAAGTGATATTCTGGTTCTTTTTTCCTCTTCACCATTATCCCCCTTTTTTGTCAGAGATGACATCTGCTTTTGTTTCACAGAGATGTAAAAAGCAAGTAAATGTTGAGTGAAAGCATGAGGTCGTGACACTGAAAACTGGAAGCAAAGTGAGAGATTCAGGGTGATATTTGTCACATTTTTGTCTACGTGGCAGAAAATGGCTCCCATTCACATCATCACCACATTACAGTAGCTCTGCCGTCCCGTGTGTGTTGTGTTTAGGTTTCTTTGTCAGCTCTAATATCACATGATTATTTGAAAATTACATTTTTAGAATGAGTTGAACAATAATCCACATTTACGCAGTTAATCAGGTTATAAAATAATGTACTTCTTTATCCTCAGAGAAGAGAGGCCACTTTAGAGGAGGAACGGAAGAAGTCGTTCAAGTTCAGCTGAAACAGCCTCTAAACAGAGACATCAATGGTCAGCAAACAGTCTGATGTTCTGCTTCATAAAATAAAATCACCACAGTTTTTAACAGCGTGAGCAATGCTTTACAGCAGGGATGTCCAAAGTGTGGCCCGGGGGCCATTTGTGGCCCCTGAACTGATTTTGTGTGGCCCCTGATTCAAGAATTATACTAATTTGTTTACAAATTTGTCCCCTCGGCACAGGTGTCTGATGTAGACGGAGACTTTCTATTTATTATTAGGACACATTTATCACAGACAAAGTAAAGTCTTACATTCATAAATATTGGCAACAATACCAATTATCTTTAAATAACCAGGCTCTTAGCTTTTTCCACATCTAGTGACTTCTACTCAAAAGCTGGTTTTGCTGCACTCCAATCTGCTTTAATTAAATTATTAAAATCGTCTGAATACAGCAAGCATTTTCAACGAAGGAGTGACCTAAATCCTGATTTTATTGATCAGAATTGACTAAATTGGGTTATTTTTCCCCCCAATTGAAACCTAGAAAATTGCAAACAAAAAATTCAATAAGGGAAACCTGGAAAACAATTTACGCATCCATTTCCAGCAATAAATCTGGCTACTTTATTTGTTTAATAAAGTATTCAATGCTTAGCTTATTGTTGAGCAAGTAAAGGAAAACTATTTTGGCCCTCAAGTCCTTCTGACTTTATGATTTTGGCCCATGTGACAAAATGTTTGGACACCCCTTCTTTACAGGCATACTCCATATGAACTGACAAAACCGGCTTTCATTGTTACAGCTGCATGACGAAAATTTCACAATTTTTTTCGGAGCTTCCAGTCTTCCAGAAGTAGACATTAATAATAAATGATAGAATGGTTAAAAAAAAAAACATAACAGACATCGTGCACGGAGGAATCCGTCTGCCGAAAACCGTGGCACTTTAACTGGGACAGATTTGTGGACAATTAACAGCGAATATCGCAGGTTTTTTTCTTTTTATCCCGGAGTGTAGACTCCAGCGGGATGAAACCTCGTGCAGTGATGAGTACCACTGAGGGACGGGTTTCCCAGGAGCTCGGAGTGATGTTTCTCAGGAGCGATGAAAGGAGAGTGTGAGAGCGAACGTCAAACAACCACATGACCGCGTGCCGACTGTTGGGCTTCGGATGGAGCGTGTAGAGGCCTTCAGCTCAGGAGAAGAAGCAGACAGAGAAGTGAAAACTGTATTCGATAAGAAATTAAATCCTGTCAGCTAAAAAGAAAATCTATCACAATTCTTAGCCAAATATTAATATCTGAAGCCATTTCAGATAAAAAGTATTTAGATTTTTGTCTTGTATCTTGTTTATCTTTACAAATTAGATTCTTTGTCATCCATCTGCTCACTCCTAATTAGTGCTTCTTCCTGCTGTCTCAAGAACTCTGAGCAGCTTTTGCCTGATAATTAAATCAAGGAGATATGAAAAAGCAGGTTCTTTGAGAGAAAATGCAGCTGGAAAGATTTTTTTTTCTGCCAGAAGAAAAATTTTTGGCACCCATGACATAAACTGCATGTTTCTGTAACAGCTAAAGAAGAAAAGGGAGGTGAGAAGTGTTGTAGACGGAGGTCATGACAACATGATAAATGTTAACTGTCCACAGAGAAATAAGTTCATAAAAATGAATGAAAATAACAAAAAGAGAGGCTGGAATGGTTGAACTGGTTATTTTAAGAGGAAACTAGTAAATTATTTGACCAGAACAACTACAACTGTCATTTCACAACACAAGATGATTTTAGACTAAAACCCAGCGTGAGTTTTAGCTTTCAGCAGGCAATACTTATTCCTTCAAAGAATGCTAGACCTTTATTTATTTCTGTATTTAGGAAATCAAAATGTACTACTAAAAAGAATTAGACAGTTTCTACTTTGTTCTCTCAGCTTGGACCAGAATTATCCTGTTTCCCTATTTGAATCTCCCATCTAATGACCTTTCATTAAAATAATGAAAACTTGTGAAAAGCGAACACGTCTCGTTTAATAGAGGGTTAAATGATGCACTGTTTGACAGTAATGACAACGACTCATTATGGAAGAACACTGTTTACTTTAGAAAACATGGAGGAGGAAGAGCTTTTTCACAGAGGAGCAGATAGACCAGCTATTACCAGCTTAGGGGACTTCCTGAAACCTGCACCTGTTAGACCTCCACAAGGCTTTTAAAGCACATCCCTGTCAGGAGAGACTTAATGTGATTTTTTTTTCCCACTCCACCTGAACTAGACATATTTTCACTAAACCACCTGCGCAGCAGCAGCCGGATGTCTTTTTTAAATCTGAAACCCAAACCAAACAGAGCAGCTGCCATCCCCTCGTGTTGATCTAAGGAGGAAAAGGTGAACGATTACAGTGAGCGCCGAGAGGAACGGACCCAAGGTTACGCAGAGCTAACTCACACACACCATCTCTGCAGGGTTTGGAGGACAAGTGTCCAAACCTCAGAGGATCTAAAGCGCTAACATTTACCTCCACGGCTGGCATGGCGGCAGTCCTCTCACTGCCTTTAGGGTTGTTTGTCCTCGAATGTCACCATCAGCTGCCCTTGGAGATTAATGACTGCATTCCAATTAGTTTGAAAACATCCATTCAGACAAACTCAATTTTACTTCATTTACAACAAGATAATAAATGTCCTTCCAACTGAATTATAGCTTTAATATACATCTAACGGTGGCACACCGAAAGCAACAGAGAGGGGAAAAAAATTGATCCTATTTATTCTAATCATTTCTGCAAATCAAACAACATAATTAAGCTGATAAATGACAAATACGCTTGTTAAGGAACAAATGAACTGATGAATGGATGCTGACACATGCTAATTGTTGAGGCAGATAAAAATAATCTGTTTGTTATATTTAGGGCAGTCTGATCCAAACAAATGATGATTTTAAGATAAAGAACAAATAGACAGGCTGGAGTGACACCCAATTTTTGTTTAATTTGAAAGAAAAATCCTTAAAGTTCCTGTGACATCAATACTTTGTAATAAATATGAATGCATTTTTGGAAAGATAACATTAATAACATACTGCAAGAAAGATTTCACACAGCTGAGATGAACAGTTGTTGAGATATTTGCACGTTCAGTAACAGGAAATGATGTCAAAGAGGAATGTCTGAATGCAAACACAGCATTGCTACTATGGCTAACAACACAGACTGTAGAGAAGAATATGATGTTTCTTTAGATTATTTGAAACACTGTTATAGAGAGAGATGAGAAAGAATCATAGTTCAAATAATATTGTTTTAATAAACAAAACCAGCTCAGACCAGCTCTACACCCTCAGCAGGGTCCTGGAGGGTGCATGGGAGTTCGCCCAACCGGTCTACATGTGTTTTGTGGACTTGGAGAAGGCGTTCGACCGTGTCCCAAGGGGGGCCTTGTGGGGGGTTCTGGGAGTATGGGGTACCGGGCCATTTGATACGGGCTGTCAGGTCCTTGTATGACCGGTGTCAGAGTCTGGTTCGCATTGCCGGCAGTAAGTCGGGCTCGTTTCCGGTGAGAGTTGGACTCCGCCAAGGCTGCCCTTTGTCACCGATTCTGTTCATWACTTTCATGGACAGAATTTCTAGGCGCAGCCGAGGTGTTGAGGGAATCCGTTTTGGTGGTCTTAGGATMGCATCTCTGCTTTTTGCGGATGATGTGGTCCTGTTGGCTTCATCGGAACGTGATCTGCAGCTCTCGCTGGAGCGGTTCGCAGCCGAGTGCGAAGCGGCCGGGATGARGCTCAGTGCCTCCAAATCCGAGGCCATGGTCTTGAGCCGGAAAAGGGCAGAGTGCCTTCTCCGGGTCAGGGGGGTCGCCCTGTCTCAAGTGGAGGAGTTTAAGTATCTGGGGATCTTGTTCACGAATGGGGGAAGAACGGAGCGGGAGATCGACAGGCGGATTGGCGCAGCGTCTGTTGTAAAGCGGGCGCTGTACCGGTCCGTCGTGGTGAAGAGAGAGCTGAGTCAGAAAGCGAAGCTCTCGATTTACCGGTCGATCTACGTTCCTACCCTCATCTATGGTCATGAGCTTTGGGTCATGACCGAAAGAACGAGGTCCCGGATACAAGCGGCCGAAATGAGTTTCCTCCGCAGGGTTGCTGGGCTCTCCCTTAGAGATAGGGTGAGAAGCTCGGTCATCCGGGAGGGACTCAGAGTAGAGCCGCTGCTCCTCCACGTCGAGAGGAGCCAGTTGAGGTGGCTCGGGCATCTGGTAAG